ATGGCTGGCCTGCCGGGGTCTCTGGTGGTCGCGTAGGAGAACGTCGCCCACTCCCCTCCCGGAGACCGCCGCCCGTCTGTGCAGTCACAAAGGCGAGCGTTCCGAGGTCCGTGGCCGCCGCGTGCGAGCCGGAGCTGGGCAGCAAGGGTCCTGCGAGGCGCAGGAGCTGCGCGCGGCAGTGTGACCCGCGCAGCCGCCTGTGGGTAAGCTCCCTGCCCTCTGTTCCACAGCGCCCCCTTCTGGGCGAAAGCAAAGACGTGGTGGCTGCCCAGAGCCTGGAGAACGGCAAGGTCCCCTCGATCAATCACAAATAACTGAGTGTGTAAAATAGCTCAAGAAAGCCCAGCGGATTTCCACTTTCCTCCCACAATGGTCCTCGTGTAAAAATGAGTTGTGCAAGTCTTTCTGCGCCCCTGCTTAGCTGGGGCCCCAAACACATGCTTAATTCCATTGCCTTCGTCTGCACTGCTGACTCTGTCCATGAAAGGACCTCTGCCCGGGGGAAACACCATTCAGACTGAATCTGCCAAGCGCTCACCGTGCCCAGGACTACGTTTACTGCAGTGGACAGACTGGGGTGCAGGAAGTAGAGAGCACTTGCCTCTGTCCCTTGACCCGGACCCCAACTTCTCACCACTTTCTCTTGCACACATTGCACCCTGGAAGCGTGCTGGTTTCAGATTCACCCCAGGAATTGCAAACCTAAATCCCTGCTGGTTACAGGAGCGGTTAGATGGGGTCTGTAGCCAGGAGAGAGTGTATATGGCTGGCATTCATGATTTAGCACTGTGAGAAGCTGGGTGTGGTGGTCACACCTGTAATCCCAGCGCTCAGGAGGCTGAAGTGGGAGGATTGCTGTTTGAGGCCAGCCTGGATTACAAAGTGAGTCCAAAGCCAGCCTGAACTACTTATTGAGACCCTGTCTCAAAAACAAAAAATTAACCCTCCTCAAAAAACCCTCAAAGTAAATAAACCCTGAGATAGGTGGTTCCAGTGATGGGGCATTAGCACACAGAGACAATAAGGACCTAGCATTTCCCTCATCTTTTCTCTTTGCATTCCTCCGTTTGAGGTACTTCTCCTCATGGTTATGGGTTGCCACAGCGCCATCTTTCACAGAATGGGAAACATGGATAGATGTCTCCTTATGTCTCATTGGCAGAGAGCTACATCACATGCCTATCTTTTGACCTATCACTGACAAAGAGAAATGAATGTTTCTGTGATTAGTGAGAACCAATCATAATCCACCTTCTGTGTCTGCCTACATGGGGTTGGGCAAAAGTGGAATTGGGTCAGAAAGGAGAAAGTTAACTCTAGTTAGTTTAAGGCATGGGAATTGCTTGACACATTAGTCTGATCTTATCTCATAGTAAAAATAAAAAGCTGGGCATGGTGGCACACACCTGTAATCTTTTCTGAGGCAGAAGGATTATTGAGTTTGAGGCCACACAGTGAGTTCAAGGCCAGCCTGCACCACAAAGTGAGACCCTGTCTCAAAGAAAAAAAAAAAAAAAAAAAAAAAAAAAAAAAAAAAAAAAAAAAAAAAA